ACCAGCAGGGAAATATGCAGACATCATAAAAAGGAAAGACCGGGTAAATGAATCCCATTAGTCAGTAACAATAGCATACAAAATAGTGTGGTGATGTTGCAGCAGGGAGGGGAAACTTTATGAACACAAGAAGAAGTTTATGGGAGAAGCTGCAAAGAGTGGCTGTTGAATCCACATCACTGGTGATACCCAAGGCTAGCCCATGCACTCCCATCTTTCAGAGATGAGTCAGGAATAATGGCATTAGCTCTGTAACTTTGTAGGGAGATGGGATAGTTCACTGGTAGAACCCTTTAAGGATACATCTACACTGTGTGTCTACTTTGGGATACCTGTAACCCTTGTTCCATGAGGGTTAAGGGATGTCTCGAAATTGTGCATTATTTCGAAATTCAGCGCTATGTACACGTGCCAAATTTCAAAATAAGCTATTTTGAAATAGATTTGAAATAAGAGACGCAATTTGTGTAGCGCAAACTGCGAATATTATTTTGAGTTTAGGGTGCTACGTAGATGCACCACTAATCTGCGGATATTGGCTTTATATTCGTGGGTGGATGTGGTTATCTGCAGTAGGGATGTGAAGGACTAGTCAACCATCCGATAAGCAAATGATTATCGGATAGTCGACAGGCTACTTGACTAGTTGCTCTCCCCCCGCCACCCCCGCTTGCTACCTCTATCAGAAAGAGGCAGCAAAGCAGAGGGGTAGGGGACGGGTGAGGAGGGGATGCCTGGGGCAAGACCCTGGGCTTCATGTGGCGTTGCTGCTTTGAAACACTGCAGGGCCAGCTGGGGTGTCCCCAGGCTGCACAAGGCATTTCAAAGCGGCAGCTGACCCTGAGCTCCCTGCGGTGCTGCCACTTTGAAACACCATGAGGAGCACAGGGCCAGCGGGGGGACTGCAGGCCCCGTGCTCCCCACAGTGCTTTCACCTTTGATGTGTAGAAACCACCCTGGGGCTGTTGCTACACTTCAAAGGCGGAGAAGCCCTATAGACTATTGCATTGACTATTAATCCCTAATCTGCAGCTCATTTTTACAGATAAGGATGCGGAGGCAGATACAAATTTTGTATTTAGAACCCTGGAGATTTGCATATATCTTCTTTATATGCATGGTGTCATGGCTCCTTCCCCACTCTGGCACGATAAATCCAGAAGTGGGGGCCAGTAAAAGTACCCCAAAACCTTATCTACCAGGCTTTGGTATAAGACTTCCCCTCAAAATCTTAACAACCTAGATTTTGGGAATAAAATCTCCACTGCCATCACCCAAGTATTGATAAAAAAATCAGGGGAAAGATCACTTGGGAAATCTTACCCCTAAAATACAAACCAGGACACAATCATTCACCACTACCAGGTTAATAAAAAGGAAAGAGAAAGAACTTTTAATATCACCACAATATTCCTGTTGCAAGCATAATAACTAGATGGAAAAGTAACAAAATAATATATTCACGGAGGAGAAATTTACCATGGGCCAGGAACTTACAAAGGAGAGCAAAACCCATGTTTAAATGCACAAACATAAGATCCCATTTCCCAAACCATAAAACAGTAAAACTTAACGGATTTATCTAAACTTTACCCTACTTACAGAAAGTGAAGAAGGGTTTCTTGAAGAGAGACATATGTCTGTCTGTCTCAGTAGCTGGAAGGAACTGCCCCAGGACAAAGGAGGGAGAAACCAAATATTCCTTTGTCCTAGTTTGAAATTCCTACCTACATTCTTATTGGCTGCCTGCCACCTGGTTTAGGTAAGGGATATAGTTAACCCCTTAGTCCACAGGATGCTGGTTAACCCTCATGATCATGACACATGGGTATCCACATTCATGGATGTCAACACAGATATCCACTGCTCATTGATGCGGACACAGATTTTGTATTTGTGTAAGGCTCTAATCATTGACCCTGGTACCATTATTGTTTATGTTTCATTTCTGACTTATCAGGACAATAAATGTATCCAAGAGAGAATTCTCTGGCCCTTAATTTACCAAGTTGTAATATAACTTAAGACAGCAGATGCTATGGAAACACCCTCTCTGAGCGGCTACGTCTAGACTGCAAGCCTCTTTCGAAAGAGGCTTTTTCGAAATATACTTTTGAAAAAGCCTCTTTGGAAAAAGAGCATCTAGACTACAACCAGTAGTTTCGCAAAAGCAAGCCGCTTTTTCGGAAGAGAGCACTCAGGCAGTCTGGATGCTCTCTTTCGAAAAAGCACAGTTTGCATTACATAGCACCTTTTTTCGAAAGAACACGTTCGAAAAAAGGCATTATTCCTCATAAAACGAGGTTTTCCGTGGTCGAAAAAACTGCCGCATTCTTTCAATTTACTTTCAAAAGAACGTGGCAGCAGTCTAGATGCAGGGCAAGTTTTTTCAAAAAAAGGCCACTTTTTTCCGGAAAAAAGTGTAGTCTAGACACACCCAGGGAGAATAACCATTTTTTAGTTGAAAATGTATTTCTACTAGGCATAGAAAAGCAGGGGGCTTTTTCACAGCTATTGTGCTGAGCTGTAGCCACTAACAACCTCTCTCCCCAAAAAAGTCTCTCTTCTGGACAGAAGGCATGGGGTTGTTCATCTTTCCAATGTGAGTCCTTTAGCTATGAGTGGCAATGGTAGCGGTTGAGCTGAAAAAGTTTCTTTCTCTCATTCATTTGGCTTTGTTCCAAGCCTGTTTAATTGGTTGGAGGGGTCTTAACCTTAGACCCTTTGTAAAGATAGCATTCATGGCCATACCCCTAATGGGGTGTTCTCTTTTCTGCTTTCAGGCCACAGGGTGGGCTCTAAGTTCAGTGCAGCTCATAGTCACTTCATATGAAAAATCCATTCAGCTGTGAACGTGGGATGAGAAATTCCTAATATCAGCCTCAGTATGGAAACAGGTCTAATGCCTCTGCCAAAGAACAAAGTGCTGGCTTTTTATCAGGCTAACCGGAGAGATAACTCATTTATTTTTCATTCTTTATCCTCTCATTGTTTTGTGGCAGGGAGAAACTGGGCCGAAAGGAGAGAAAGGAGATCGAGGAGGCAGAGGGGAACCTGTAAGTGCACGACAGTATTTCTTTCAAAATAGCTTTGAGCCTCCCTTGCCCTCTAGCTAACTTAATGTGGATAGGCATCATATTCTTTTGTGGAGGGTGTTGTAAGGTCCCCTGGTGGTGGGGAGGGCGGGGGAAGAAAGCAGGAGAGAGTGTGTGTGTGTCTACGAAATGCTAAGTTTTTAACCCATTGTTCCTCTACAGTAGTGGTTGGGTGAGCTCAAGAGAAATGGGCATGTCTTCTCCCTCCTATCTGGAATGAACCCAAGCTATGGTAGCTCCCAACATACAAAATCCTTTTCTTCCCCAGAGCGGGGAAAAAATGAGCCAAACCACCATTTGCCAAGGAGAATAAATGAGTTGTTTCCTTCCTCCCCTTCCTTTGCAGGGGCCGCATGGTGTCCCTGGTGAGATGGGGCTGCCAGGACCTCCAGGACCACAGGTGAGCCACCTCAACTACACTCCTTGGACTGACAGCTATTTGCTGTCTTGGTGCACATGGTTTCACACATTCCCTGCTCCTGGATGCCGAAGGTCCGATTCCCCTCTCAGCCCTCCATTAACCTCTATGGAATTAGGTGCCCCCTGCTTAACCCCAGGGTGAAGGAGAAAAGAGTGGAGCCCTAAGTGTCTCTACATTGGTCTGCAAGCAGCAGTTCTCTCAGCCCATGTCTCTCAAGAGCTGAGGCTGCTCTGTTTCCACTTCCCCACTGGGCTAACACATCGATTGGGATTACAACGCCTTAGAAAAGGATTCCAGGGCAGGGTTCAGAGTCTCCTGGGTGTATGCGAAATGGGGACATGGTTTTAGGCTAGCTGCCACTGAAAAATTCCCGGGACGGCAAAAAACACCATTGCAAATGAGCCCTGATCACAGCTCCTGTTGACTGTCTCACCAGAAAGGGCACAGCATTACCACTCTCTTCCCTAGTCATGGTCCCGCCAGCTTAGGGCTGAAGCCAGTTTGCTAGGTAGTGTTGGAGAAAACCGCAGTGCCAGCGCTGTGCCTGGCCCGGGGATAGAAATTGACTGTTGCTTGGACTGTCAGTCTCGAGCTGCCTTAAACAAGCACTGTGGCGAACGTAACAAAAAAGGAAGAAGAAGAAGAAAGGTTTGAGGGCAGTGGCAGGCTGAGTGATGGCAAGGCAGCCAAAGCTGTAATGCTACTGAATGCTCTGCTGGTGAAGTCCACACACAGCAAATCCCACAAGAACCTTCCACCGATGGGGGGGGGGGGGCAAAGGGGACAGTTACCCTGGAGGACGGTGATTCTAGAGGGCCTGAGCCTGGGTCCTTCCCTGCATCATATGCTCCAGAGCCCAGCTCCGCCTGAGGCTCTGCCCCTTCTGGGGGCAAGAAGCCACCCCCTACATTGCCCAGGAGTCTGGAGCCCCCCCACTTCCCCCCACACACACATTTCCCAGGGGCCGGGAGATCCTGTTAGCTCTCCTGACTATCCACATTGACTTTTGTGGTTCACACGGCCAGAGCAGGCCCTTTGCATGGACATTCATCCTTAGCGTGTTATTATTGTGCCTATAGTTACACCGTGCGGCTACGTCTACACTGGCAGCCTTTTCCGGAAATGCTTAAAACTGAACAGTTTTCTGTTATAAATATTTCTGGAAAAAGCGCGTCTACATTGGCAAGATGCTTTTCCAGAAAAGCACTTTTTCCGAAAAAGCGTCCGTGCCAATGTAGATGCTCTTTTCCACAAAAAAGCCCCGATCATTATTTTCGCGATCGGGGCTTTTTTGCGGAAAACACTACTGTGCTGCCTACACTGGCCCTTTTCTGGAACAGTTTTCCGGAAAAAGGACTTTTGCCCGAACGGGAGCAGCATAGTATTTCCGGAAAAGTGGCTGATTTCTTACAGTAGATCGTCAGTGCTTTTCCGGAAATTCAAGGGGCCAGTGTAGACAGCTGGCAAGTAATTCCGGAAAAGCGGCTGATTTTCCGGAATAAGTGGCCAGTGTAGACACAGCCTGCAAGTCAGGGCCAAAATTCCAGCTGAACGGGGATATAGGTAGTGCGTAGGCCCTACAGGTGGGCATGCATTTTGCCCTCTCTGGGTATGTCTACACTACAACGTTAATTCGAACTAACTTAGTTCGAATTAGTTAATTCGAACTAAGCTAATTCGAACTAACGCATCCAGACTAAAAAAGTAGTTCGAATTAGCGTTTTGCTAATTCGAACTAGCATGTCCACATTAAGTGGACCCTGAACCGGGCTTAAGGATGGCCGGAAGCAGTGCCGGCAGGGAATCAGAGGAGGACTTAAAGCGTAGAGATGCTGTCTCAGGCTAGCCGAGGGCTGTGCTTAAAGGGTCCCGATCCCCACCTCGGACAGACAGTTCTCAGGGGTGCCCCGCTTGCAAAGCAGTCCTGGTTTGGATTGCCCGGAGTACCCACACTGGGCACATCACAGCACTCGGCCATCAGCCCAGCTGCACTTGCCGCAGGCTGCCATCTGGGAAGAGGGGACAATTGGGGGGCTGCAGGAGAGGTT